CATCCAGCAGTGGACCTAACAGAGGGCTGTGCGTGTACATGACGTCATTAAAAGTGACACAAATGTAACGAGTCCAACTGAAGAGTTCTCTGTGTGAGTGTGCAGTGATATAGTCAAAGCTCTGTCGTGAAAACAATGATTCATTCATTTTGTATCGTGCGTACGACTCGCTCACTCCCGAAGAGAGAGAGGTTGACTCCAAGGCGTGAGGAGAGACCACGGACAAGCGGGGAAGCAGCAAATTCCACCCCCAAGCTCTGCGGTCCTCCAAATATGAAGGTGTTACTGGCCAATTAATTAGTACTTACTTGTAGCAGGAATTCAGAGGACAGGGGAAAAAACTCATGTGTTCATGTGAGGGGCCACCACACGGGGTATGCCGTGATCCACCAACCCTGGCTGTGATCCACCAACCCTGGCTGTGATCCACTAACCCTCGCTGTGATCCACCAACCCTGGCTGTGATCCACTAACCCTCGCTGTGATCCACCAACCCTCACTGTGATACACCAACCCTCACTGTGATACACCAACCCTCGCTGTGATCCACCAACCCTGGCTGTGATCCACCAACCCTGGCTGTGATCCACTAACCCTCGCTGTGATCCACCAACCCTGGCTGTGATCCACTAACCCTCGCTGTGATCCACCAACCCTGGCTGTGATCCACCAACCCTGGCTGTGATCCACTAACCCTCGCTGTGATCCACCAACCCTGGCTGTGATCCACCAACCCTCACTGTGATACACCAACCCTCAGTGATTCACCAACCCTCGCTGTGATCCACCAACCCTCGCTGTGATCCACCAACCCTGGCTGTGATCCACTAACCCTCGCTGTGATACACCAACCCTCAGTGATTCACCAACCCTCGCTGTGATCCACCAACCCTGGCTGTGATCCACCAACCTTCAGTGATCCACCAACCCTGGCTGTGATCCACACACCCTCGCTGTAATCCACCAACCCTCGCTGTGATCCACCAACCCTCGCTGTGATCCACCAACCCCTGGCTGTAGCCTACACAGTGATGGATTATGGGCCACGTGCATTGCCACCACGACTTTGACGGTTATTGCATCGTAGAATAGGAATCACATTTACCACCAAACACACGAATCACTGCAATTTATGAATAATAAACAGCATCTCTTACGTGGCAAAGATTTAGTGAGAAATGTCCATATCCTCTGAGTTCAAGCCTCTGTGATGTGCGTGTATGTGTACTTTTGCAGTATATCTACAAAGAAAATGTATCAAATTTAAATATTCAAATCGTTGCATTGATATCACCCAAAATAATCCGAACGAGAATTTGTGCTGTAAATACATCATCAAAGCAGACCCGATGTCTATACGTTCTTATCTATGCAGCATGTAAGTGTGGGAGAAATACACAACAATCTGTAACATCCCTGACTATCAAAATACACATGAAGGGTAGAGTTGGCCCAAGGTGGCACGCTATCATCGCCAACGTAACTCGGAGGGGATATTAGAAAATGTTTTCCAAAAAAATTCCACTGCGGAAACAAGCAGCAAAAATATTAACGAAAAAAAACACATTCAGGGTCAAAGATTAAAATCTCTACTTTATCACCACAGCAACTCTCACGCGGGAGAAGTGGATAAGTTTGACTCGCATAAGGAAGGAATAGCAAAGCTCGTTTTCCTATAGGCCCACACGCAACGCGTACAAGTGCGCACGTGACATAAAATAAATATTGAGATAACGCAGAGGCATGCCAAGTCACCCTGAAGTGAAGGTGCCGGAGAGACAGGCCCCGTTAGTCGTGACCTCTATGTTAAACCACGAGCGCGAGCACCGGACAGCCGCACGACAGCGCCGTGACAGCTCAAACGCACGCGCCGTGACGAGCGCCACTAGCGGGGGGGGGGGGGGGGGGGGGGGGCGGGGCGGGGGGGCTCCGCTCTCTCTCTCCGTGAACACTCGGCACCCACCTTGAGTAGCTCGGCTCGCAAACACCGAACACTCCACGGCGAACCATCCTGGGACCTAAACCCCTCCCCCCCCCCCCCCCCATTGAACCTCCCCTACCCCCACAATTATCTGGCCTTGTCTGTGCGCCCACTCGCTCGCTCACATCGCTGCTGCTGTTGACGACGCGAGTTGATGACGGGAGAGCGCGGATACATCCGCACTGGGCCATTGGCAAACAGAAATAACAAGGAGACTTTCTCCAATCCACCCGAACACAGCATCCTGACCGGTGAAGTTCAACCATAGCATCCTCACCAGTGAAGTTCAACCATAGCATCCTCACCATTGAAGTTCAACCATAGCATCCTCACCAGTAAAGTTCAACCATAGCATCCTCACCGGTGAAGTTTAACCATAGCATCCTCACCGGTGAAGTTCAACCATAGCATCCTCACCGGTGAAGTTGAACCATAGCATCCTCACCAGTAAAGTTCAACCATAGCATCCTCACCAGTAAAGTTCAACCATAGCATCCTCACCGGTGAAGTTTAACCATAGCATCCTCACCGGTGAAGTTTAACCATAGCATCCTCACCAGTGAAGTTCAACCACAGCATCCTCACCGGTGAAGTTCAACCATAGCATCCTCACCGGTGAAGTTTAACCATAGCATCCTCACCGGTGAAGTTTAACCATAGCATCCTCACCAGTGAAGTTCAACCATAGCATCCTCACCAGTGAAGTTCAACCACAGCAAGTTCAACCATAGCATCCTCACCGGTGAAGTTCAACCATAGCATCCTCACCGGTGAAGTTCAACCATAGCATCCTCACCGGTGAAGTTCAACCACAGCATCCTCACCAGTGAAGTTCAACCACAGCATCCTCACCAGTAAAGTTCAACCACAGCATCCTCACCAGTGAAGTTCAACCATAGCATCCTCACCAGTGAAGTTCAACCACAGCATCCTCACCAGTGAAGTTCAACCATAGCATCCTCACCAGTGAAGTTCAACCATAGCATCCTCACCGGTGAAGTTCAACCATAGCATCCTCACCGGTGAAGTTCAACCATAGCATCCTCACCGGTGAAGTTCAACCACAGCATCCTCACGGGTGAAGTTCAACCACAGCATCCTCACCGGTGAAGTTCAACCATAGCATCCTCACCAGTAAAGTTCAACAATAGCATTCTCACCAGTGAAGTTCAACCATAGCATCCTCACCGGTCAAGTTCAACCATAGCATCCTCACCGGTGAAGTTCAACCATATGATCCTCACCAGTGAAGTTCAACCATAGCATCCTCACCGGTGAAGTTCAACCATAGCATCCTCACCAGTAAAGTTCAACCATAGCATCCTCATCAGTGAAGTTCAACCACAGCATCCTCACCGGTGAAGTTCAACCACAGCATTCTCACCGGTGAAGTTCAACAGCTGCGTGCGGCGCCTCGAGTTCAGACATCCGAGGCACGGTGCATATGCTCGGAAGGCGTCAGGGATAGTTTATATTTCTACATATATAATAAAAAAAACATCAAACGTCGCTGTCGGAAACGCTTAAAAATGGTCGTAAAGGCTTCGGTCTCTCTTGAATTCAATTGTCGTGGACACGTCGCCATGTGCATGTGCGTGCGCGGTGCTTCAAATGCATTGGTGGAGAATGAACGAGGATGCCTTCTAATAACACAAAGTGAATTCATGCAGTTCATGCGACAGAATTAGCCGGGGCAGTGATCACGGATACGACGGCGTGGCTCAATACACGACTCCAAATGGGTCAATTAGCGTGAGGCTGCCATAGAAACGGCAGGGTGAATGAGAGGGCTTGGACTCGTTGACGTTGACTTTGTGAATGTTCGCCTGTTTCGCTGTCGTATCTGGGTCAGCGATGGAGTCCCCACGGGGCTTTTGCAAGCGCCGTTAGCCCTTTGTACAATAGAAGCATTGCAATGCCATGCAAGGGGCTTATTTGATAAATGCTTGCAGTGGAACGGCGTGTCGATTCATCAATTGGGAGTCGATCTTTATGATCACGATTTAGCGCTGCATCGCGCGTGTAAGATTGAACGTCTTAAATATCTGATCTGTTATGTGACACGGGTTCAACTCTTCTTGGCAGCCACTAGAGGCGCCGCCATTCATCGCGGTTGTTGAAGAGAAAATTGTTGAATCAAATTGAGTTTTGTCTTTTATAGTCTAAATGCAACAACAGCATAGAATCAGTTGCCCGAGGTAAAGGCGCAGCCCTGCAAGTGCAAGCTCGCGCCACTCGTTGGCAGAAGGAGCCTCCACTACAGGCAGTGACAGAGAGCTCCGCTAAAGGGCGTTTGGCCTACTCTTTCACGCTGCTCAGTGTGGGGAGAAGGCACACTTTACTCCACCACACGCACCCCACCGATCGACTGATTTTGGTGGGCGTGCCCATTCACACCGCTGGGTTGTTACGACCGCCACCGCCAGGGTATCGAATTGAACGGGCGACCTCGGGATTGCGGAGTCAGCGAAGTGCTAACCATCGTTACCGCTCCCCGCTCCCACTGTGGCAGCACAACAAACAGTAACGCAACAGCCTCGCGTCGGTAATCAACAGTGGCACGCGCATGGCTGCAAGCACGCGTCGCGAGCTCCAAGAATCGACGCCAATCGAGGGAGCGGTGGTACACCCCGGTCGCTAAACCGCCCTAACCCCCCCCCCCACCACCCCCCGCCAAAAAAACGAAACGTAACTTTGTCTCTGCGACGACAAAGCGAATTCAGGTGGCGTGGGCCAACTCCCCAACGGTTTGCGGCAGCCCCACGCTGCGGATGCGGCGACGCGCATCGCGAATGAACCACAGGCGGGGATCGAGCGCGGTGGGGGTAACGACACGCGGTCACCGGGAGCCACTGTGGGGGTGATTGGGGGTGTGTAGCGACAACATGCCACCACACCACGTGACCACCACGGGGGGGGGGGGGGGGGGCAGGCATGGTGGTGGTGAGTGTGGGTGGTGAGCATGCAGACACCGAAGTTGATCAAAAAGATATCAGCGGTCCCGCTTTAAATTGAGTACCTTTGGTGGAATTGCTCCATCGGTTACCTTCAGAGTGATGGGACAGGGTAAGGAGATTGACGCAGGACGCACCCGCGCCTGAACCGAACACTGTAATGCGGAGCGGGTCGCCCCCGAAAAATCCAATGTTCTCGCTGATCCAGCGCAGGGCCTGGATCTGATCTAGCAGCCCGTAATTCCCTTTGGCTGCCTGGTCGCCAGTGCTGAGAAACCCTGCAACGGCAAATGGTGAAGAGGGGGGCAGAGAGGGGGGAAGGGGATGAGAGAAAAATAAAAACACGGTTACAGTACAGCGCGGGATTTCGCGGCCCGGGAGCTTCTTTACACACCTTGGACTGCGGTGCAAAACGTTGGACGTCGTGCCGAGCAGCACGAGGTGCAACCCGAAAATGCGTCAGAGAGATAAACGCACAGTTATTCGAAATTATGATATAAAATAATGGCTGTGATGGTGATGATGGTCACGATGATGACAGTGGAAGCTAGGTAGACGCATAGGTCTAGGGCATCTCTCCACTAGTCTAATGTAAGCATGTGTGGCTTATAACAAAACTGTGCTTATACACAGTGTCTGTATAATGTGTTCTGATTAGAGAAATGGTGACAAATATGATGACCGTGATAACAAATGTATTGTACTGACAATGGTGACGTTGATGATGATTATAACATTAAAGATAATTATGATGATTGCTACGATGATATGAAGTTAATAACAACAATAATACAGTTGTGATTAATAAGAAAAAACATGTAAAGAATTGCCTCATTTTTCCTCGCCAAAGCAAACATGTTCATCATCATTACAGTCGGCCGTGTGTTTGTGGCATTGAAGAATCGTCGTCGTCGTTGTTGTTGTTGTTGTCGTGCGAGGCGCTCCCCTGGTATTTATTAGAAGCCTGCGAGCGGGCAGGGAAAGTGGTCCAGACAACGGCAGGGAAAGTGGTCCAGACAACAGCAGGGAAAGTGGTCCAGACAACGGAGTCTTCTAGACGATGCCGTCGCTCTGCATTGCCCCGTGGCACTGGGGCTTAGTCCGCATGTTTGTCGAAATCCGCGAGACGTGTATTTGTTGTTCTTGTTGTTGTTGTTGTTTACCAATGTTCGTGGGAGTAATTCACCGGAATGCTATGATCTCATACTTTATATTTGTTTTAGGCTCGGATTGTGTGCGTAACACGCCGATTGACGTGTGTCGCGTAACGCGGCCAGATACAAATGTCATCGATCGTGGAATCAGATTAACCACGCTGAGAGTTGAGATCAGACAACGTGAGATTACTGATGGCTGGCCGAGTACAATAATAACGCATTACCCATCGCGTGTTGCCATTGCAAGCTTGTCCCTTGCTTACATCGGCAGGACGGTGAGCTGCCTATTCCGTATGGCCAGGGTAAAGAGGAACGTCTGGAGGCTCCGTTGTAAGATGTTGAGCCATTCAATTGCTTCGTCTCAGATTTGTCAAATTGCAAATACACCAATCCATAAACTCAAACACCAACCCACCCACTCAACACCTTCACATTTATATTTGGGGCAGTGTGCTGGAACATGGTCTATGGTGTTGGTGTTCATAGCCACAGTCGCACACAGGGTTGGCATTTTTATTTTTATTTTAGACTTGTGCATTCGGTATCCACATGTGGCACGGTTTGTACGGATCCAATCAAGGGCATCAGCAGGATTTACCATACGGATGGACAGCGTCGTTTGAGGTTCAAAGCATTGACGCATTGGCCCCGTCCTGTCCACGTGTAGCGGGGAAGGGTGGTGGGGGGGGGCTTGCCATCTCTTAGTCCTATTTGTAACAAATCTTTGGCATGATATGCTTTGCCGTTTGGGACTCGCCCGATTGTCGATTGTAAAGCGGGCTAGTTGACCAACGCGTCGCACGAGACTTGGGAGGCGAACGCAGAAAAAGAAGAGGACTTTGAAATACAAATAGCACGCGACACTTACTGCCACTGACTGCCACGGAGCAAAGCAACGTTTATTACGTGGACCGTGCTAACGGGCGTGCAAACCACAGTAGTACATGCACGCGTACTCACACACACTACACAGAGAGTACATGTGTACGTTATTTAAATGCAACAAGCTTTGTGGGCCGGCCGATAGAGTAAATTATTTAACAAGTTACGAACCAACGAGCTCGGTGAATAAGACCACGTGCCCTCCCTCTCTGGAGCTCGCTCTGGTGAAGTTTCATCTGCCAGCAGTGGCGTGAGCAGGCAATTTCAGGGCTGCACCTTTGGCTTTTAAAAATTACTCGGCGCCAATGGTAATTGCTCACCTAACAGACTCACACCACCGTTTATTTCGTGAAGTCTTACAATAATGGGCCTGCGAATAAAATCTGTTAAAACTATGAGAAAACACCATCATAACAGAATAATAGTGCGCCCTGGAAAACCGTGAGTTTCAAACAAGGAAATAGTGGGAAAGACGCACACGGCTACTTGCGATCCATGATATCGCCGTGCAGGCATAACACGCCAACGTTTAATTATAACCCTCCGCTCCCCAACAGCCAATCAAATTGTCGCGTGGGCAAATGTGCCAACCGATCTACTTTCTCGGCAAAACGGGGTGGGGATGGAGGAAGGATATCGGAAGGCAAATCAATGGGTAGATTTGCCCAAGTCGATTACTACACTGATGACGCACGCATACGAAAACAAATCGCGCTTTGCGGAACCAGATTTTCACTATTCATATTATTGGTTCTTTCAGTAAAGTCACGTAGAAAGGAAATAAAATATATATATTAAACAATAACATTCTCACGACTTTTCGACTGCAGCACAAGCAATCATCATCAAGGTGTGAAAACCACAGGAAAAAAATGAAAAAAGTGGCGGTTTTTTCTTAACGTTAATAAAAAAACGCCACTTTTTAAAATTTTCTTGCTGTGGGTTTCACACCTGATGACGATTGCCTGTGTTGCAGTCGAAACATCGTGAGAATTTTATTGTTTTATATTTGTATTATTTTATTGTTTCCCTTCTACGTGACTTTACCGAAAGAACCAAGAATATGAATCCCTGCAGTCACGAAAGCTTTAAATCAGATTTTCACTATTTATGCAAATTGTACGCACATCAAATTCCACGGCAACTTTCAGGCTCAGGCAGGAAAACAAAACTACAAACAAGATCGGAAAAAAACAACAATTCTAGACACGGAAAAGGAGGCCAATCAATCATTGATTATCGGATCCAGAGGTGGCTCAGAATCGTGATGATCCACTGAATTCGCTGGGTGAGGTGGATTGTTGCACTCCTCGTTAACCATCGCACGGAAAACAATTTACTTACAAAATGTCGCAGCAGGAGCAGCAGTCATGGCAATAGTGTCTGTTGTATTTCTGCAGCCCTTACCACACTATCACGTCAACACGAATCAGCGTGCTTCATTTAACTAGGTCAGCACCCATCGAGATCCATAGCCTTTTCTTGAAAACATATCTGGGTGACTGTAGTTCAATGTAAATGCGGTAATAATTGTATAATGAAGATGACATCTTGACCAAATTGCCCTGAATGTGCCCCATCACATCGGATCTCGGAATACCGCAGGCGCAGAACTTCCGATGATCACGGTTGGCGACGTACGGTGCGAAAGAAGTTCAACACACGTACAACCTGAATTGGGGAATGCCTGCAGGGAATAGCAGGTGCCATAGGCATGAGTTGCGCAGTAGCCAGGCGTTGACAGTGAGACGAATGATGATTATATTGAATCTGCGTGAAGAGCTTCTGGTGAAGCACCGCGGTGTGGAAACCGCTGCGGAGGCTTGCTTGCACTGAATCAATGCTGCTGAAAGTGCGCACTCACAGAAGAAGGCCGTGGGAGTGATGAGTTGGGTAGAAGCATGATTTGTGACGTTGAAGGTGACATACTCTGCGTATCCATGCTGTGTGAAGACATTAACGCACACACACGGTCTCCCCACACACCGCGTGTACACACACACCCACACGGTCTCCCCACACACCGCGTGAACACACACACGGTCTCCCCACACACCGCGTGTACACACACACACACGGTCTCCCCACACACCGCGTGTACACGTATTGCAATTGCCGATCATCCCAAGGTGGCAGGACCCCCTTGAGAGACACACAGTCTTGAGACTCTATGAGACTCTCCTGCAGAAAAGAAACGAGACTGGCTACACTTGCGCCGGACGTTCCAGTGTCTTCAATAGCTTCTTCAACAGCGGGTGATACACTTTAGTTATTATTATCACAAACAACCACTGCTGGATGAGGGCCTCCTCGCTCCGCGTGTGCGTTTGGTCGCTAGGGATTCTGTGTCCGGACTTCGCCGCGTTGATCGGCGCCGGTTGGCGAAGGCGGGGAGCGCAGATGCGGGACCATAGAAGTGCAGTACAAGCTCACACAACTCCCCCACATTCAATATTCCCGGTGACCTGGCCTCCTGTCCCAGCGACAGGCAGACCACTTTAGTCTTTCACTTTACGTAGACTCTCTGTACGGATAACAACACAAAATAACAATTTACGTAACGTTTGCTTTTTGCCACATTTTAATTACTCCGTAACAACAAAGCCACGTCCGCTAATTTATTCTATTAGGATTCCACAAGTGACCATAATGGCACGTAATAATTTTGATGTAATTGTTAGAAAGGCGGCTGGAGTAATGTACTTTGCAGAATAATCATATTTGGATTCAAACGCCGCGTGAAACAATAAGCAAACCCAAAGCAGTATTTTATAATTTCAGCTGAAACCAATGTGTCCATGTTATAGAAGCTGAGTGTTACATTCTGTTGACCTTTTCGCAAATGCATGTAAAAAAGAGCATCTTAACGCATTGTGGATCGGCATACTTTCATTCAGCGGTGCAAAAGGGAAAAACCGCGGACGATAATTTATCTTGCGGATTCAAGGAGCTCATAAATCATGCATGTTATTTATCCTGTCTCTTGCTATTTTTTCTTACATCTATCCAATATCAACCCAGTCACATCATCTCTCCAAACACGGAGCGGCTTGGGAATTAAATCTAAACAGACAGTAACCATGGAACATCGGGATTATGATAATAGTAAGATTAATATGGTTATATGTATTATTATTCGTGTTATTTGACTAAATTAATACATTAAAAAGTAATTTCTAAAATAGCGAACACTGATTTAATTTTACAACCTGTCATACTGGCGCATTTCTCTCAGATTA